TAGAGTGTTGAGGAAGAGCAGATCTTCTCTTGCACCCCCCTTTTGCAGGCACGTTTGGTGGCTGCAGCTCTGGGCTGCTGCAGTAGTTGCTGATTTTTATTTTTTTTTCCAAAGGAGCAGAAGGGGTTGGATCAGCCCTTCTAACCAACCGTGTTGTGTGTGTGTGGCAGTAAAAAGCAGGCTCACGTCACAAATTTGGCTGTTAATCCTGGTATTTTCACTAGAAGCTTCTCTTAGCTCTGTGTTGCTCAGCAGTGTGAAGAAAAGGCCTGTGACCCCTTGCTGAGGTACTCCAAGGAGTCTGCACTGAGGACTTCTCTTAGCCTTACATTGTCAGTACTCAGTACCTGCACAGCTTGGCTTGGGATTTACCTTCTTCCAGGACAGATGTCATGTTTGCTGGCGTGCTTTCTGTCTACCCTACAAGCAATTTTTGAATTTTAATTTCAAGATTGATTTATTTTTTTCAGTCTAGTGGATTGGAGTTTCTTCTACTTGTAAATTCCTTACAGTGTAGCTTAGTGCCTCGTTCCTCTTCTTCTGGGGCAAAGCTCCTTCATCATTCATGGTGGGGAAGGTGACCATACATACTCTGTGAAGCACAAATTCTGCTTCTGCCATTTTGGGTCCAGTATTTTTTTTCCCTGAAGAATCACAGTGTTGACTTAACTGTAACAAAACCCCAATAGAAACATGTTTTGAGTGCAGAACTTTGGGTCAACTTGACACCACCTTTATTTTTATTTTTATTTTTATTTTTTTTCCCCATGTTCTGATGATGGAGGGAGGTTGGGTGGTTGGTTTGTCCTCTTCCAGCTTTGCTCCTCAGGAAATCAAATGCCCTTTGCTACTTTTCCCAATCCACTTTTGTGTCTGCCTTTTTAGGTGGCTGGTCGCAAGGGATTCCCTCATGTGATTTACGCTCGGCTTTGGAGGTGGCCTGATCTTCATAAAAATGAACTCAAGCATGTTAAATATTGTCAGTATGCTTTTGACTTAAAATGTGACAGTGTCTGTGTAAACCCTTACCATTATGAGCGTGTAGTATCACCTGGCATTGGTAAGTAGACCCTTGATTTCCAATAGAACAGTGGGGATGAAATGGGGCATGTGTTCCTTTGGAGGGGAGAATCTGCATTAGGGCCTGAATTAGAAACACTTTTTAACTTTTCATGATCTTGTGATTAGTGGCTCTCATGTGCTCTAGTCCATCTTCTTAATGGGGATGTTCTTTTAGCTTTATTCTAAATTTGAAAGAAGAGTTTGTGGCTTTTGTTTAAGCCTCTCTGTTGGCTTTGCCCTCAGTTCCTATAGTTCACGTGTGTCCTGGGAGTAACTGAGCTTTGAGGCTCGTGTTGTGGGGGGTGTGATATGTAAAGTCTGTAGCACCAAACTCTAAAAGCTTATAAACTCAATGTTCAAACACTGTTGAATACCTCTGTGTGTGTAATCCTCCACACTCCCCCCCCCTTTTTCTTTGTCTTCTTTTTAAAGATCTCTCAGGACTGACACTACAGAGTTCTGGTAAGTAGTTCTGTTGATGATTGCATTTCTGTGGGCACAAACTGTGTTCAACTCTTCAGTTTTTTCCTCTGTGTCTCCTTGGGAGGGAGTATGGGGAGCAGATGAAAGTGCATTTGTCTCACCAGTTTTGGAAAAGCAGCTGAGTAGCATCTGAGAGACAGGGATTGATAAATTCTTTGCATTGAGGCTTCAGTTCAGCTTGTGGTTCTGTTCTGTTTTTCATTGCCTGCAACTTAGAAACCCCAACAGAAAAAAAGAAAACCAAACACTTCACTGTTGAATGCTGCTAATTAAAAACCCCAAACACCCAAAACCTGTGCACCTGGATGGTACACTAATTAATGGAATTGGGAATAATAGATGCTTATGATTTAATGAGTAGTTTAACAAGAAAATAATAGAAATCCTGTAATGAATATGCAGTTGAATGAAGCAGGCCCTGAAACTTTAGAGAAACTGGACAATAAATGGCCAAAAAACATGATCAAGAGAAGAGAATTTGGATAATCCAGTGTCTTTAGCACATTATTACAAGTATTCAAGCAAAAATTACTTTGAAAAAAGAACCCCAAACAACCCAACAAAGTCTTCACAAGCTGTAACTTGTGTGCTCAGCTCTCCTAATTTGCATTATTACCTGTGTCTTTTGGAAAATGGTCCTTTTGTAAGGAATCAAAGCTCACTATGCAGCAGTTGAAAGTTTTTTCTTGTGGTGCTGCTGTTTTTGCAGCAGGAGACAGAAAGTTAGTGCAGATTTAGTGTATTTAAGGCTGCTTGAAAAATGATTATAGGGATTAATATAGTGGAAGAGTTTGACTTGAACGTGCTCAACAGGACCTATAGAAATAAATAGGACCTATATAAATAGGATTTATAGAAATAGGACCTATGTAAATAAATAGGATTTATAGAAATAGGACCTATGTAAATAAATAAGATCTATAGAAATAGGACTTAAAGAAATAAATTATTGTCTTGTCAATGGCAGCAATTTCCTTACACTGTGGAATATTCTGAATTGGTGGTTACATTGTTAAGTATCAAGTGTTCTGTTGTCTCTGAATGTGAATTTGATGATTCCAGTCCATTTGGGTGGGAGTTGCTTGAAATTACTTAAGGGGTGCATGAAGTTTTTAATGTGCTTTGTCCATGAATTATGTGTTTCATAGGAGCTTTATGGAGATTCTTGTATGCTAGAAACTGGTTTGTCAGCTACTGCATTAACATATGTTTAGGTGCTTGGCAAAATGTATTTCCCTTTTATTAACCATGTCCCATCACCCAGTGATGGACTGGAAAACAAAATGCTGTTGGGAGTCTGCAGGTGTGGGACTGAACTGCTTGTTTGGTAGCAGGAAGCAAAACAAACAGTTTCTTTCCCCTCCAGATGTGCTCCAAAAATCCCTGCTGCTGGCTTGAAGTGATGATTTGGAATTTAGAGGAGTGCTTTAGCAATGTTTGGATAGGTGAAATCCTGGAGTAGCATTGTTATGGCTTGAAAGTAGCAGTGCAATTTGTGGTTAAGTCCTGGCAGTAGGTTTGCTTGGTGTCTTCACCTCTTTGCTTCTCCACAGCTCCATCGAGCATGTTGGTGAAGGACGAATACGTTCATGACTACGAGGGGCAACCATCCTTGTCTTCTGCTGAAGGCCACTCGGTCCAAACCATCCAGCACCCACCAAGTAACAGGGCATCTACAGAGCCTTATAGCACCCCAACCATGTTAGCTCCCACTGAGGCTAGCACTACCAGCACCACTAATTTTCCCAACATTCCTGTGGCTTCAACAAGTAAGATCATCGGGATTGTGTACAAAAACAAAAAATGTGACAGCTCAAAGATGACCACTGAGTTTTGCCAGAGTAGATCTTGCCTTGCAACTGGGCTGCTGCCACACTGCCCTGATGAAGTGTGTGGTGATGTGATCTGGGCAGTCTTGTAAGTTTTTAACAAAAGGTTTTCACTTGCAGCATAATTAGAGTAACTTTTCCTGGTGAGCCAGTCTCTTTTCAGGGAGACTGACACTACATGAGTGTTACAAGATTCTTTGGGATATGCCAAAGGTTCAGTGATACAATGTTAAAGCAATTGAGCACTGACAAAACATGATGGCTATTACTGGAATAATTGCTGGAGGGATGGGAGGATTTAATTATTTCATTACAACTGTAAGCAGGAGGACAAACAGATAGAAGGTAACAATCAAGAGGTTTCCAGACAATTCTTTAGTGTTCCACAGCTGACAAAATAAGTCTTTCAGTTTTATCTTGTGGATTTTGATGCTGGCCCATAGTTGACAGCCTTAATTAATATTTCCATGAGTCAGTTGGAGTTTTGCTGTGCTTTTCTGTGTCCGTTTGGTCCAAGTGGAAGAGTCTGGTTTGCCAAGATCAAACCTCACACTTCACTCCAGCAGGACAGTAAAGCAGTGATGGACATGGGATCCTGCACCCCTGACTGGGAAATGAGTGACGTTTGGAGGAATTTCACCTACTCTTTTGTCACTTGAATATCAAAGATCTGTGAATATAATGGATTTCATGTACTCAGATTGGGTTGAGGGTGGTGCATGGGGTTTTGATAATGTTCTTTAATTTTAGCTGATGACTTTCTTGCTTAAACTAATGATGGTTTTGCTAAGCTGAGGTACAATGTCTTTATGTCCAGCAGCTAAAAAAGGATAAGCAGCTTAATTGTATTGCCTTTGCACAACAGTTTATAGTCAAGAACTTTTTCTTATCAGCTCTGTAATTGTTGGAGCCAAGTAGACATGAACCAACAACTTGCTTTTAGGTTTTATTTCAAGTTTTCAATGTGTTAAATTCTGCTAGCCAGACCAGCTTGAGAGTGCAAGTGTACTTGTGAAACTGCTGATCAGTTTAGTGTTAATGGCTGAGCTGAAGCCTTTTAAAATCCAATTCTTTTAACCTTTTCTGAAATCTCTGTAGTTTTACTTCAAAGCGTAGGCAATTCTTGAAGTATTTTTTTGAAAGAAAACAACTAACAACCAAAACAAACCAGTGACTTTTTCAGGAAGGAGTCCAGTGATATTTGCAGCTCAATTCCAGCACTGTTTTTAAAAATAAAAATACTGTTCAGTATGTTTTGGAGGACATACATTTAAAGGATTGTCCTTTTTGGGAACAGTAGTTTTAAAATGCTGCAAATAAGCAACTTGCTGGACCTACTGTTGGCCTGTTTGGCTTTATACCAGATCTACTCCAGCTCTGTTATTGACTAAAACCTGTGACATCTCTTTCCAACTGAAAAATGAGATGTGAACACAGCACAGATTGCAACTGATAAACAGAGTTCTCTGCATACTTGGACTCCTGAAATATTAAGGCTGTCAAAATTAGCTGATGCAGAGTTTGAGTTTCCTGAGACACTGGTGGGTGGAAAAAAAAAGACTGAAACCAGACATGTAGGAACTGTGTATGGCAGTGCCCTTAGTTGGGTGTGTTTTCCTACCCAGTAGTGCTGAGCCTCTTCTTCATTACAATTTTGGAACGTTCATGAATAGGTAGTGTGTTCTTTTACCAGGTCAACCTACCAGTATATTGACAGGTAGCCATAGTGATGGACTCTTACAGATTGCTTCAGGGCCTCAGCCAGGAGCTCAGCAGAATGGGTTTACAGCTCAGCCAGCCACTTACCATCACAGTGAGTATACACATACCTGCACTCTTCTTAGTTTGCTAAAACCCAGTGAGGAGAAATTAGAGGATTAGAAGAGAGATGGAGAAAAAACTCCCTTTAAAACCAACCACACTTTGCTGTTTCCAGATAGCACCACAACTTGGACTGGAAGTCGGCCGGCGGCCTACACACCCACCATACCTCACCACCAGAATGGCCATCTTCAGCATCACCCACCCATGCACCCTGGGCATTACTGTAAGCATAGCAGCTTGTTTGCAGCTTTTGTGATTCTTCTGTACCCTCCAATCCCTTTTTTTTAAATTGTAGAACTCCCATTACTGTACAGGAAAGCTGGGACAAGGGCAGGGAGTGAGAGGACAAGAGGGGATGGGTTAAAGTGGGAGAGGGGAGATTTAGGTTGGACATGAGGAAGAAATTCTTTGGTGTGAGGGTGGTGAGAGCCTGGCCCAGGTTGCCCAGGGAAGCTGTGGCTGCCCCATCCCTGGCAGTGTTGAAGGGCAGGTTGGATGGGGCTTGGAGCAACCTGGGCTGGTGGGAGGTGTCCCTGCCCATGCAGGGGGGTTGGAACTAGATGATATTGAAGGTCCTTTCCAACCCAAAAGATCACATGATTCTATGAAATATAAGAGCTTCATGGACTTTCCTTCTTTAAAGCAGCAGAGATTAGAAATTCAGATAGCTGGCTACCTTGATACCATCAGACATTTTACCATACCTAGTAAAACTACCATTTCCTTTCTAAACCTTAAAAGGTTTGCAATCTGGTAGTAAATATTTCCTTTGCAGGAAAGGAAGTTGATTCAGAGTGTGTTATTTGAATATTTTTTCTCTCAACACTCCAGGCTGTTTTTCTTTTCTAGAAATTTTGAAGTCATCTAAATGATGTAACAGTCTTTGGTCTGTTAAGCTTTGGAAGATGAGTCTCTGTGTACACTGGCCAGCTGAAAAGAACTTTGTGAAAACAATAAGATACTTGTCAATAAAGTGGCCTTGCCACAGGCTGATTCATGGCTGCCTTTGGCACACAGACTTGAAAGTCTTTCTCATTTATGAAATAGCACCAAAACCTTTTGTTTGAAGGTACAGGAGATGAGAAGGAAAAAAAGAAGGGCTCATACTTTCAGTGTGTCTAACCAGCATATGCATGATGAGGGTAGTGCAGAAAAACCCCACCCAAATTAAAGGTTTTCTACATTTTGTACATTTTGTATCCCCTGGTTGTAGCAGTTTGTGGAGGGAATCTTGTGAGTTCAGGTTAAAATAACTTCTCAGCTTGTCTGTCCAGAACATTGTGTTTGAGCTACAGTTAGTAAGTTTAGTAGTTTTCTTCTTTTAGGATCCCACTTCATTTGCCATCTGATTTGTCAGAAATACCAGGGTGTAAAAAATGTAGTGGTGCAGTATATAGTCTAGAAATGTTGCTCAGGTGCAGTAGATACTCTGTAAATGTTTCTTAATGCATGTCTCCTTCCTTAATTTAGTACTGGTAACTGGCTGGTGGTACCACAGGGAGCTTCTCTTGCCTGCTGCCATTTCTCACTTCAGGAAGTAGCACAGTTTTGACACCTACCAACGTTTTGCCTGTGTTGACATCTTGTTGCAAAAGCTGCTGCTACTTAGAATACTATGTTTAAAGTCTTGTTCTGTGCTGCCTGTGAGGGGCCTAGTTAGTTTTTAGAAAAGGAGAGAAGAAACTGACTCTTATCAAGGCTTTCTTTACTACTTTTTCTTTAGAAAACAGGTTTTCTAGGGCTTTTTTTTTTTTTAATCTTCAGGGAATGTTTCTTATGGCCAAGTCCACCCCATGCTGGGCAACTCATTCTGTGATTGATGGGATTAATGAAGTGTCATTTCAGACAGATTTACATTACATGCCTCTAGAAGATGAGTTTCTCCTTGCCCAACTTGGGGGCAGATGAGGAGCCCCAGTCCTGTTTCTATCACAGCTCCTTACTGCCTCTGCTTTCTGCTCTCGCCTGGAGCTGGGTCTGGCTGAAGCAGCATGAAGTCTTTCCTCCTGGGATACTAATGGAGCTTTTAGCTCTGCTCAGCTTCTGAAGTTTTAGGAAACCTCTGAGGGTGTAATTCTTCTGTGGGCATTTTCTCCCCTGTCAGATGTGGCCAATTGATTCAGGAATTACTGGGATTTATAACACCTGGCAGCCCCACAAGTCATTTGTCATAGGAAAACAAGCTAGGAAAGAACAACCTTTTTTTTTCCTTATGTAAAATAAATGGTGTGTTTTCTTTTAAAGGGCCAGTTCACAATGAGCTTGCATTCCAGCCTCCTATATCAAACCATCCTGGTGAGTAAAATCTAACCTGTAATGCTAATATGGTGAAAGCCAGTAACTTTGTTTTAAGTCTTTAGGGTTTTTTTTGATTGTGTCAAGTACTCTGTAATTAGTGAGAGATGTTCAGAAGAGGAGGGGAAAGAAAGAGAAGAACCATTTTGTGAGAAGGTTTTTTTTTTTTATTTGAACCTCTGCTTTGAAACAGCAACATATTTTGATAACTGAATTTAATTTAGATGCTCAAGTCCAAAATTGAAATCCTTAAGCCCACACTGAGCCAGTTTCCTGAGCCAGTTTCTACCCTGGAGGTGTCTGAACTCTGAATGTCCTGAACCTCACAGGGTGCCTCAAGTTGTACTTTTTGCCTGCTTAGAAACATCATGGAGCTTAGGTCATTCCAGAACCCTCTTGGATTCATAGAAATCCAAAAGTTGGGTACAGTCCTTTTAATTTTGGTGCTAAAGCTTCTCTTTGGACCTTTGTCTTCAAGCTGTTTCCTTCCAAGAGCATTTATTAATGGTAGCAGTTAGTGGAACCAAAGAGCTCTTTTCTTCTGGCACAAATCAGCTCCACTGCAGGTGCAAGGTGGAATTTTGTTTTTAACAACATCAAAGCTTTTAACCTGCATAGTTAAAGAGCCTAAGAATTTAATTCATTAATTCATTGGCCAGTGACTAAATCAGTACCAGAAGTAAAACTCTTTGATAATTGCTGGCTGAACTTAACTCTAGCTAAGTTGTATTTCCTATTATTTAGGATGCTCCTTTTGTTTTTTTCAGGAATTTTTATGTAGAGCTCCTTTTTGTGCTGTGCTTTAGGTCCTGTCATCTTAGCTCTTCTCCTTCCCTCAAGTACCCTGTGCTGCTGATTTTCTTTGCCCTCCCCACCAAGCTGCTCAAATGCCTCTTGTGGAAATGGGCCCTCAGAGTCAGCAAAGGCCCCCAAAATCCCCACTTACTCAAGCTTGTTCCAACTTTAGGTTTTCCTGTGTCTGAAGGATGAAAATCTGACACTTGACAGCACACAAAACAAACTGCAGGAGGCCTGACAAGCTGGTTACCCCCAGGTAGCACAAAGCAGCAGACACACACACAAAATCACTTTGTGCTTTGTGAGGTTTCCTCCCTTCCTGGAGTGTTGGGGTCTCAGCAGCATCCTCCACAGGGCTGGGATTCTGTATCCTCACATGGTTCTTTCTTCCAAATACCATCTTTCCTTTGTAGGTTTTTAAAACAGTTTGAGTTCAAAAGCACCTCTTTGCTATTCAAACATGCCATTTTGTTCTGCTCCCTTGCTTCATACTTCCTGTTTTATCCCAGGCCTGACTTTTCTTGTGTGCAGACAAAAATCAGTGTGTGATCCTTGGTGTTTTGCCCTCATTTCCATTCCTCATTTCATTGCCCTGCTTTCCAAATCTGGTTTGCTTTGCAGGAGGATAGAGAACAAAACTGACTTCATCTAGGATGCAGTTATACTTACCTCTTAAGCCTGTTTGAGAGTGAGTTTCTATCAGCCTAGCCCTGAATAGACACATATATATGACTTCTTTATGCTGAAAGAGAACAAAATCAAGCTGTAGACATAAGGTATAGGTATGCAGATGGTTTATAAAATTAATTAGAATTATAAATTGTACAAAGAGTCGTGAGACTCTGGACAAGGACTTGTAAGATTTTAACTACAAGCTGGAATTGATGTGGGCTCAAATACAAACAAGTTGGTTGTAGTGTTGTGTTTTTCTGTGCTAGCAGACATGTCTCTGCCTGTCTGGACTCTCTGAAGTGAATGTTCTCCCTTACTCTGAGGGACAAACTCGGCTGCAGAAAGCTGCATTGATTGTCTGGAGTGGGTTTGTGGGCTTTTTGTACCTTCCAACCAGCTGATTACAGGCTGGGAGAGTTGGGGTGTTTAGTCTTGAGAAGAGAAGGCTCCAGGGAGACCTTAGAGCAGCTTCCAGTGCCTGAAGGGGCTCCAGGAAAGCTGGGGAGGGGCTTGGGACAAGGGCAGGGAGGGATGGGATGAGGGGGATGGATCAAAACTGGAAGAGGGGAGATTGAGGTGAGACATGAGGAGGAAATTCTTTGGTGTGAGGGTGGTGAGAGCCTGGCCCAGGTTGCCCAGAGAAGCTGTGGCTGCCCCATCCCTGGCAGTGTTGAAGGGCAGGTTGGATGGGGCTTGGAGCAGCCTGGGCTGGTGGGAGGTGTCCCTGCCCATGCAGGGGGTTGGAACTGGATGGTCTTTAAGGTCTCTTCCAACCCAAACCAGTGTGTGATTCTATGATTGTCTGTGTTCCTTAGCTCCAGAATACTGGTGTTCAATTGCATATTTTGAAATGGACGTGCAAGTTGGGGAGACATTCAAGGTCCCTTCAAGCTGTCCCATTGTCACCGTTGATGGATACGTGGATCCTTCCGGAGGAGACCGGTTTTGCCTGGGCCAGCTTTCCAATGTGCACAGGACAGAAGCCATCGAGAGGGCAAGGTACCCCCCACAGCCCAGGAGCTCCAGCTCTCTGGGGGCTTGGATCCTATTTTGTTTCACCTTCAGTGTGTGTCTCCCTCTTGGAATGACAAGTGGGGTGTGTTGCTTTTAACTGAATTAACTCCAGCAGAGGATGTTTGTCCAGGCCACTGCTGTGCTGTTCCAAACAGGAGTTGTGTGACAAAGCCCTCCAGAGCTTTGCAGCAGCACGTTGCTTTCCATTGCTTCCCAAGACTGTGCCTTCAAAGATCAAATTAGCAGTTGATTTTTTGACTTGACAGTTTTTGTGTAGCTCTAGACAATTCTAAGGTAACAACCACAATTTCAAGTCCTGGTGCGAGTGGAGTGTAAACGTAAGGTAGCACAGACAACTGAGATCTGGAAAATGATGGTTTATTTAGTCAAGATGTTGTTTCTAGTACCCAGATTGGAACTGTCCTTCTTTTTAAGGTTGCACATAGGCAAAGGGGTGCAGCTGGAGTGCAAAGGAGAAGGGGATGTGTGGGTGAGATGCCTCAGTGACCACGCAGTCTTTGTCCAGAGCTACTACCTGGATCGAGAGGCAGGACGTGCTCCAGGGGATGCTGTTCACAAGATTTACCCAAGTGCATACATCAAGGTTGGTTTGATCTTCCTAGAGGGAATTGGTGAATGAAATATCATTCATTTGGTTCTTGTCAAGGTTGGGGCAGCTAGGAGGCACTGGAATAAATGTAACTTTGCTTTTGATCATCCTTTAAAAAAAGACAAACTAAAGCTTTGCATTTGACAGGTCACTTAAGCTGACTTTTGTCAGGGACTCTGAGCTGGAAATATCATCCAGGTACTACAGCAGTAACTGATTGTCACAGACAATCTTGACAGCAGCTTTTTGCATTCTCAGCCTTACAGGTTTCAATTAACTGCTACTAAAATGCCCAGCATAGCTTATCTGTTTCTTTCTCCAAAACAGGAAAAGTTGGCAAAGTTATCTAAATGCAGAAGTGTCAAGTGTGTGTTCAAGTGTTTATGTGCACAGAATGATCCAGAGATCACAGAAAATGGCATGGAAACTAATTATTTTCAGGAGCTTCTTACTTGGACATGGCTTGAACATTCACTTAGGGCAAGCCACACTTGCACAACATCATCCTTTCATTAGAATTAATTGCAGAGAGGTTTAATTTCTTGATTAATCCTCAGGTTTGCAGGCAGGTTGTGCACTGAAGGTGGAAGGAACCCCACCAGCCTCTGTGTCTGAGCTTTCTAGTGTGTGAGAACAGAGGCCTCAATGATTTAGTGCCAGCCCTAATCATGGAGATAGAAACTGCTACAACTTCAGGCCTGGCAGTTCTTGGTGTTTCTTTTAAACAGGCCAACATGTTTCAGCAAAGCAGTGAAAAAGAATCGAGTCTGACAAGGTGAAGCACAATTTGTTGGGTTCCATTTGTATTTATAGGCCTATTTCTGGGATTTAATTAACACGTTGGGATTTTATTGACATCCTTCAGACTTTGATGCTGCAGTCAGTTCCTTAGGAAGCCCTGCACAGCTCAGCCAGGTTGTGGTGGTAACATGTGAGAAGAGCCTCCAAGAACCAGGTTTAATGGATTATTTCTGTTAGGAATTCAACTAATCAGGCAAGGTTTGCTTGGAGAGTGTGTGTTGAGACTAGAGGTTGCTTTGGGAGAGAAAACAGATTATCTGGGGTGGGAGGGGAGGAATTCTTCATTGTTTTGGCTAAGTGCATGGTTGACAGAACCACACAGACTATGTTTGTTGTTTTGAAGGTGTTTGATTTACGCCAGTGTCACCGTCAGATGCAGCAACAAGCAGCCACTGCCCAAGCTGCTGCTGCTGCCCAGGCTGCTGCAGTAGCTGGAAACATCCCTGGACCAGGATCAGTAGGTGGAATAGCCCCAGCCATTAGTAAGTACATTAACTGCTTGGTCTCCTTTTTTTCCTTCTCACCTAAGAGCAAGTAACACCTTGCTCCAAACAATGGGGATTGCTGAGCAGCAAAATCCTTGAGGAGGTTTAGGGAAACTTCATAGTGATTCTTGAGAAGAGGAAGAAGAGAACATGAGGGTGTTTTGCCTTTTTCTTTTATTGAAGCTATTCTGGGCTAGAGTTTACATAGTTGCTGAATTCAAAATCCTTAAAATTGTACCTAAGCCCTTTTCCAAGTGGAAATACTTCCATGTCTCTGAGTCCTTCATGTGCCATAGTGTTTTCTGGATTCCTTGCCAAATGGCTCTTTCCAGCTATCCTAGAAATTGCTGAGGGCATTTTGGGGAGATGGGTTTAACTTGTCTTGATTTGAAGTTTGCCAGCTGTATTCATCCACTAAGTAATTGGAAGTGTTGAAGGGCAGAATGGATGGGGCTTGGAGCAGCCTGGGCTGGTGGGAGGTGTCCCTGCCCATGCAGGGGGTTGGATCTAGATGGTCTTTAAGGTCCCTTCCAACCCAAACCAGTCTGAGATTCTATGATTCTATGAAATGTGACATAATTATAGCAGAGATGTAGAAAAATGGATTGGCCTTGGCTGTGGTGAGAGGGACCCTCTGCTATGAGGACAGGCTGAGAGAGTTGGGGTGTTCAGCCTGGGGAAGAGAAGGCTCCAGGGAGACCTTAGAGCAGCTTCCAGGGCCTGAAGGGGCTCCAGGAAAGCTGGGGAGGGGCTTGGGACAAGGGAAGGGAGGGAAGGGATGAGGGGGATGGATTAAAACTGGGAGAGGGAATATTTAGGTTGGACATGAGGAGGGAATTCTTCACTATGAGGGTGGTGAGAGCCTGGCCCAGGTTGCCCAGGGAAGCTGTGGCTGCCCCATCCCTGGCAGTGTTGAAGGGCAGGTTGGATGGGGCTTGGAGCAGCCTGGCCCGGTGGGAGGTGTCCCTGCCCATGCAGGGGGGTTGGAACTGACTGATCTTTAAGGTCCCTTCCAACCTTCACCATTCTGTGATTCTCTGAATTGTGCATGAAGACAGAGATAAGCAGACAGGAGTGACTGGCCAAGCCACCAGCTGCAAACCCACCCCGTGTCCATGAAGACTGACTTGAACCCTCTCCTGTTTAGGTTTGTCAGCTGCTGCTGGGATTGGTGTAGACGATCTTCGCCGCTTGTGCATCCTCAGGATGAGTTTTGTCAAAGGTTGGGGACCTGATTACCCGAGACAGAGCATCAAAGAGACCCCCTGCTGGATTGAAATCCACCTACACCGGGCCCTCCAGCTGCTAGATGAAGTACTTCACACCATGCCCATTGCAGACCCACAACCTTTAGACTGAAATCCCTCCTGAGCTTTGGGAGATGGGGGAGGCTGGTCGATTGTAAAATAGAATTCTGTTTATAACCTGAAGAGATATTTTACTTTTGTTTCTTGTTTTTGGTTTGTTTGTTTTTTTTTTCCCTGCTTTAATCTTCTCCAACCAGGTTTTAAAAATGTGTTTGCCTCCTTGCTCTTAGCAGAAAGAAACTGAACAGGCAGAATTTGGATTTCAGTTCTTTGCAGAAGTGTAATGGTCAGAAATAACATGGCTCAGGGCTTAAAAGTGAAAGGTAAGGGCCTCGTAGAGACTTGACAGTATTGGGTTTGTTCCCTTTTTCCTTCTCTAGCATGGCATCTTGGTGATAAGCCTCACAGGAGCCTTTTGTATGCAGAAATATATATTATATATATATTTATATCTGAATTTTTCCTTCTCATAGTTAAGAAACATTTACCTTGTAGCGACTTGAAAAATTCCAACGGATTTGTGATGTTCTTTTTTAGGGAACAGTTGTCTGAAGACTCCTTGATTTTGTTGACTATCTCATGATGATTTTTAAGTTTTTTTCCAGATGAAAAGGTAGAAGCTGCCAAAAAACAAAAAAAAAGGGCTGAGGTGGAGGTTGGTAATGATTCAGAACAGCAAGGAAAAGAAGCCTGGCTTTTCCTTCTCTGGTTTTTAAAAAGAAAAGATCCTTGGGTTTTTATTTCCATAGGCAGGTTTTTAAAACACTAAAGGAAAATGGATTCTTTCAGTGCTGGCACTCAGATTGCAAATAGGACATGAAATACCCAGGCTGCAAAGTTGCCACTGAAATCATGTAAGAAGAACCTGATGGCAGGAACATTTTCTTTCATACCCACTCCTGACTTGTCACCCGAGCAAAAGCTTCATGACTCTTTTTGCCCATACCATGAGATCATGGGAGAACATGATGCCACCCAGATTTAGGATCCAGTTGGTTTTGGGGTTGGTTTGTTGGGGTTTTTTTTTGGCTCTCTGTTCACCATTTCCTCTCAGGGCAAGATGGCAAACTTGTTTTTATACCTCTTGGTTATTTGAAGCCCTCTGCCATCAAGGACCTGATCAATTGCCAATGACTTTGTATAGAGAATTGATAAGTAGGAGAAAGGAAAATATTGCAGATGTATTGACTGTATGACAGATACAATATGTATGCTTTTCTCTCTAGTGACTAGTATCAATAAAAGGATGGAAACCTGGATTTTCCTAAATTTAGTTGGCTTCTCTCATGTAATTCTGCACCTTGAAACCATTGATCTTGAGTGATGGATGATTTTCCTTGGCAGGACCAGCAGCAGCCAATAGTGGGAGGAATTTTCCTTGGTTTCAACTTGCCAGGAAGTAAGTCCCAGTTTTTCTTCCTTTCCCTCCTTTGTCCTCTCTTAGCTCTTCAGTGGAGTATGAAGAAGGAGCAGGAATTCCTTCTTTACCAGCACATAGTTGGGTGTTGGAGCTTAATTCAACAGGCTTTAAAAGTACAGAGGCTCCAAGGTGAGATCCGTCAAGCACTGCTGGGATCACTCTGCTGTGGTAGTGGTTAACAGAACTCTTGGAAGAGCTTACCCAGCAGCTTTTTGCCAAGCTTCAGGAATCTGCAGAGGGTTCTTTACATGTTGCTTTTCCCATACACTGAAATCCTTCTAGCAGAAGTCAAGGGTCATTGTTCCTGTCTGAGGTGTGGAAGCACAGAAGACAGGTGACTTTTCTCCATGCTTCCAAGAGCAGCGTTGCCTTCTTCAGACTTAACTTCTAAAATACTTCATTTTTCTTTAAATTTTCCCTCTTCTGTGGCAGCTTCTTGATGTCTGGACAGTGTTTGCTTTTCTCAAGTTGAAAACTTTCATTTTCCTGTCTCTCCTGATGATCTAGTTTGTCCAAACTCCTTCACACTCTTGAGGAGCACGTTCAGTAGAGGGTTCTGGCAGCAGCCTCAGAGGAGTTTATTCATCTTCATCCTTGGTTACTCTTCATTCCCCACAGATAACTTGATTTGGAGGAAGAAATGTAAAGCCTGTCTACACATTCTTCTTGCCAACCTCCCTTGGGAATTCTCTGCCCTTCTCTTTCTGCTAGGCTTGAGGTTCCTCAGCTTTTGGGAAGTGTCTCACCTTTTCAGTGGGGATTTGAGTGTTGGTTTGATGAGAAGTCCATGAGCTTAGCAGTCCCTGTTTCACTTTGTGGCTTTTGTGAGGTGCTTATCTGGGTGGAGGAGTGACCTGTACATGGTTACTTCTCAGAAAACTCTCTGTACTGGTTTGGATTGTGCCAAATTTGGATAAAATGGTCTTAAGATTGCTTCAGCCTCTGGAGGTTCTTGCCTGTGTTCCAGGCTGAAGGAATCCAGCTGTTCAGGTTTTCTTGCAGCTGTTTTTCAAGCCTCTCCCTGCAGTGAGTGGTACCTACAGTGTGATATTTAGAAGGCAAAACCCATTCAGAACAACAAAAACACCACTAGATGAGTTGATCAGAACCAAGAAATCACAGGCTGCACCACAGGAGAACTCTGAACTCTTGTGTCAGGCAGTAAAAACACCCAGCTGGCAACTGTAGCTGTTCAAGGGCACAGTGAGACACTGAACCTTATTTTTTTAACCTGCCTGTGAGTGAATTTATGCTCTTTCATGATGAGGCAGAGAAGAAGGCAGCATGTGATGGGTTGGAAACCCTTCAGCAGCAGCACCCTCAGGCTTTGACAGCTTTGTGTGTTGTTCTCAGCTTCAGGAAGGAGTTCCAGCTCCTTGACAGCTGTGACCCTCTCCAGGCAGAGATGTCAGGAACACCCTGATCTCATCTCCCTCAGCTCTGAATGTCTCAAATCGGGTGAATTCAAGGAGGATGATTTTTTTTCCAGCTTGCAACCTCTCACCATCCCCTTCCTGTCTGTTCTGCTCGGTTCTTTTGCTGAAGTCATGACCCCTGTGTTTCTCCCCCTCAGTTATGTGCTCCTCAAAACAAGCATTGTGCTGGAGCACTTGCAAGTGGCACTTGGTGTACTGGAGAGCTGGGATTAGCACCGGAAGGTTTAGAGGGTTTTAAGTTGGCTTGGAAAGCCAAGGAATTGAAAGTGAATAGGAGGGGAAACCTCTTCCCTGGAATGGTTGAAAAGGACTTCATTCCTACCAGGAACCCCTTGGAAGGAGCCCTGAATGGTTGCTCTTCATTCTGTGCTTGTTGAGTGATGAGTTGAGGGACCTGGACCTCCTGGCTGAGATATAAATCACTTCATAAGCAGCTCTACTGAAGACCTGAGAAGTCCTTTGGCTGCTTTATAGAGAGAGACCTGAAGTAGAGAGGAGACACCAGGCCACCTCCAGTCACCACCCAGGGCTGTAGCAGCAGTAGTCTCTCCACCTCTGGCCAACTCCTGTGCCTTAACCTTTAAGACCATCTGACTTCTGGTGACACTTCTAAAGATGACAGTGTCCTCTCTGCCTAGCTCAGGAATGACTGCTTCAGTTCTCCAAGGAACCATGGAAAAAAAATCCCTGTGCCAGTGTAGGCCTTCAGCATCTGAACCCTTTAATGAGGTTTCCATCTTGATGGTGGTCTTGCTGGAGGCATCTTTGATCTCTTCTTGGGAGGGTAAAGAGCCCTAGAAAGGACCATCTCCTCCATTTGCATTTTGACTCCACTACTCTGGGATCCCTGGTGGTTGCTTAAATTAAGGAGAACCAGATGGAGCTGTTTCTATTCAGCCTTCATTTAGGAAATAGGAAATCCTCTTCCCTCCTTCTCCTGGCAGGCTCCTTAACATCTGCTCCATCAGATCAGAAGGTGCTTGGTTGGCAGGTATCATAAAGGATGCTGTTTCTGAGAGGTTCCTTTCTTTTTGGCTTGGGAAGATTTCAACGTGAGAAGTGATGGTCTTGCCTGGTCCTGCTGATAACAGGAGTGTTGATAACTGGGAACTGGTTTTTGAGGACCACAGGGCTGGTTTTGGGATGGAGGTTTGTGAGTTTGCCTGGCATGGGGCATTTGTGTTCTTCATCAGCACTAAGCTGGTGGCTTCCACCACTTTGGTCCTGGATGGGGAAATGAAATCAATGGAAAGCACTTCTCCACCAACCCTGTAGGACATGGAGGTGAATCATTGGGTCACCCACCTCCAAAATGCCTTTCATGATGGTGTGTTTCTGGAAATGATCTAGGAGGTGCCAACTTGGGAACTGCCACACGTGGTGTTGCTGAGGTCCCCATGAACCAACGGGACTGGAAAGTTCTGTTTGGTGGGAAGCAGGACTGTTGGGAGACAAAACCCTCTGGAATTTCTGGCACTGCTGGCTGCTGTTGTGCCTTGGGGGTGATCCATCCCTCCTAAATTGACCGGACTTTTTTGGAGCTCACCAAAAAAAATAATAAATCCCCTAGTGCTTTCTTGCTCCACTACCTTTTTGTGTCTCTTTGGTGACGTTTGGTAGCACCACCAAGTTGTGATTCAGCTGGATGGAGAGCTGCAAAAGTGCCCAGAACCCAAACCTCCCCATCAGAGGGGTTTGGTTTTGAGCATGAAAGCCTAGCTTAGCACTTCTCCTTTCAGCCATTGCCTTTTGATAAGTGGTCAACAGAATTCCCAGTAGTTCCTTTGTAGCTTCCTGTATGTTTTTCATTAGACCTAGTTTGTGGATAATATACTGTAGCTAACTGAAATTCTGTAACAGAGTTATGTTTTTGATTAAAAAAGGTAAAAGATTCAACTCTCTGCCTTCTTTGGTTCATTCCAGGGTGAGCTTTCCACCCTGTGTCTGCTCAGCTGGCAGAACTAGTTGCTGTCTTCACCTGGGTGGTGGCCAGAAGAGCTCCCTGCTCCAGGACTATGATTTTGGAGGGTTGTGTGTCTGATATGGCCTCAAGTTGTACCAGGGGAGGTTGAGATTGGATCTTGGGAACTGTTTCTTCCTGGCAAGGGTTGTCAGGCCCTGGCCCAGGCTGCCCAGGGCAGGGGTGGAGTCCCCATCCCTTGGTCACACCACTGCCAGTCAGCAACCTCTGCCTGC